ATAAATAATAGATAACTAAAAATAATAAATAAATAAATAAATAATATAAATAATATAAAAATAAAATATAAAATGTTACTCCGGATTTTCGGGGTTATTGATTAGCGAATTAAGGTCAAATTCACATTCCAGTGACACATACTACCAATTCAAAAAATTTATTCTTACTTTTGTGTACTACCACATTGAAAAATTTACTTATATAAAAGCATGTTTTGAGTAGACTCTTTTTTCCTTGCATCTCATATAGGCTTAATTACCACAAACCATATAACTGCAAGTATCAAAAAAGCAAGAATCGCATACATAAACATAGGCAAAAACAAATTACTGGCCATGATAGGTACTGCCCAACAGGTAATATCTCGGTCATTTCTATTCATGAGACATCCAGAAAGAAAAGAAAATTCCAAGAAAAAGAAGATACTTGTCAAGGCAAGCCTAGAGGACAAAAACACGAAAGAATTATATGTCATTCCAATCTCCGATGAACCATTAATCAACACATCTTCCAAAGATGCCAATATGGAAGACATATCTAATCAATTTCATAAATTGTATTTTGATATTGATGTAGTTAAAGAAAAACTTTCAAAAGATCTCAGTCAGGCTATGGTACACAAAAGAACGATAAGATCCAGCAGGTTAAATCCTTTACTGCATCTAGTTTTTCAGATTTGACAAAAAATGAGGTTAAGAATATCGTGGAAAACTTCCCATCCCATGAATAAAATATTTGACACTCACCTTCACTTTACTGCATAATTTTTTAATAATTATATTGTATATAATCAACATGTAGATCCACTGTGTATGTCATATGATATTGTTCTGGCCCAGAACACCTGCTATTCATAAATAATAATAATAAGTTCACATATCTATATTTTTTGCTTGATTAAACATAATTATCCAGATCCATACTGACATCTGTATCTTTGAGGAGCATTCTAACTTCTTTGATATAGTCTTGTCAATATACCCCATCCTCTTTAGATATAATAGCATTGCCACTCACAGAGTGAGGCTACTCTGTAGCTAAATTTTGGAACTCGCACAATTTTTTGTTGTGTGAGATCTGAGTATGTCAATTTCATAGATTCAAGTCTTTCATTTTAATCCATAACCTTGATCTTCCACAACACATATACAATATAGTACTTGCCTCCTATGTATTCTTTGACCATTTTCTTCATGAAAATCAGAGGGAAATCCGTAAATATATTCTACAGGATCTTTCTTAAACACAGGCATGAAATAGAAATTTGTTTGCACAGCCCCATTAATGTATGATTTTGTCACATGACAGATTTTCCTGATTAGATTAATATTAATATTACAGTCAGGATTATTACCAAATATGGAATTTCCAAATACTGTAAGGATAGACAATCTAGAAAAAAAAACCAAAAATGATTGGCTAATTTTATGCAGATCTTTTCTTTGAAAAAAATTGATAAATAAAATAATGCTTTTTTATGAGGAAAACGTGGCGAAGGCTTTATTAAATGGTCATATAACCTCCAAAATTTTATGTATTACGTTTATTTTTAACTGCTT